CAGGTGAGCGACAAACAAATTTCAGAGCTCAAACTACAAGAGCACAAGCCCAAGTTCTGATGATCTTAAGACATGTTTTATTCGGAAGTTGTAGAGGTAGTAGTGGAGTTTCCCATCGCCAGGCCCAAATTTCAGTTCCTTCAAGAAACATTCATTTTGCATTACATCCAACGCATTGAAAACATCATAATCCTTCCGTTTTGCAACAATGAGAGCATCATTCATCAACTGAAGCAATGGAGTTTTTGTGGACACGTTGTAGTAAGAATAAGCAGCCTTCAAAGTCGAGTAATTCTGGTTGCCAAGGATAGTCGAGGGCAATGTGTAAAAACTGCAAAAATCTGTTATCTCATGAGTCTCGGGGCTTTCAACCAGGAAGCTGTCCACCACATTCTCCCTTGGAAGAAGCCAGTGCTCTACATCATTTTCATCAAAGTCAGGTGCAACATCAAACTGCTTCAAGTAATTCCTAAGTAGACGGGTAACTGCTGGAACATCATGGGGTTCCATCTTTCTAAACCCAGGTGTGGCTGTTTGATCTGGTAACTTGTACAGCTTTATTGTCCGGCTCATTGTCATCCTTGCACCAAGCCTAGAAAAGCCGACATCAATAAGCTTCTTTGGATTCAAAGATCTATGCCAATATTGACAAGTTGCTATGGGTGTGGGAAGAACCACCCCGGCAGTATAAGCTGCTTGCCAGATATTCTCTAAGTGGACCCTCCTAGTCACCTCCTTAATCATGACAGGAGCAAGTCTTTTCGATCTAAGCTTCTTATGAACACAAAGAAAATTAATCTCTGCCATGTTGACAACAGTATCCCGAGCCCGGATTCTTGCGGGAACTCCAGTAATAAAAGCAACTAACTTTTTTGAACTCTTTACTCGTACTCCAATATGCCAGCTCCTGTAATAACCTGGAGGTCGAAGCGCCCATTGGAGGAACTCCCTGGAATAGTTAAATCTAAACATGTTCTCATCATCCTCAACATAATTATTGGAGAGGAGGTTATAAACCTCAATGCACATATCTTCTGAGTCCATATCACAGGTAATCCACTCATACAGATTGGGGAGATTATACGGTTCTTGTTTGACTTCTGACAGGGGTGTCGGGGGTTCAATCGGGCCTTCAGGCAAGCTCGTGTCCCCAAGGTCCTTGAACTGCCCAACAGGTTGGGTTTCCCAAAACTTGTGTCTCTTTGACATAGAGAGTGATTCTTGAACCTTTCGTGCTAGTGCATCAATTGAAATTTCACTCTCATTCTCAGAAGGTGAATTTCCATCAGGGCTAGGGTTTTCATTTTCACCCATCGAATTAGAACTGGAATTCTTGTCAGCCATTTTCAACTGATTGAAATTGAGTTACTCTGTATAGCAAGCACAGTATTCACATAAAAAACTCAGAACAAAACAACAACTGTTTGATTCTTGAAACACAAGAAGGAAAAAGAACGCATTCAACTCAAATAGAATCATATTTATAAACCTGTGATTATATAATATATCAGTCTTAGATTTCTCTCTAAGTTGGATCTGCCAAAACCAAAAACTTTATTCATTATGCCCAATACAATTATTTCCTCAAAATGGTAAAAATTACCCACAAAAGATTCTTTCATCGTTCCAATGATTTCATCTTACTGGGATATCTTAACCTTGATTTCTTTCATCGTGGGTGTTTACCAAATTGGCACAGAGGAGAAAACAGAAGGATATATTCAAGAGAGAAATCCATGAAAACAAACAACAGATTTTTTGGGATCTAAACAAATAATAGCACAAAAAAAACAAGAAATTTAACATAGAAAACTGCAAAAATTGAGACCGAATTGAGGGGAATTTACCTGGGGTTTCGACCTAAGGGCGACTTTGGCGAGAATTCGTTGGAGTTGGGCGTTTATGAGAGATCAGAGAGAGGATTTATATGAGAGAGAAAACAAATTGGGGGAAAACTTTGGTAACTACGAAGCTGTGGGTGGAAAGAATCATGGAATTCGTCGACTACCAAGTAATGGGAATACTAATACTATTACTAGTCTAGTGGTATCCAGTAGTAGTGTGGAAATAGCGCAACCTTTTGTTATTTTTAGGGATTTTTTGCACTTTGTACCCCTAAAAGTTGTCTTAATTTCTATTTTGTATTTTGAAAGATTATTTTTTTATATAATACCCTAAGTATCATAAATTAATTCTAATGTGGCCACTGAACTAATATCCGTTTCAGATTTCGTTAAAAATTAATGTATATGTCACTCGTGTAGTGTTCTTAAGCAAAAACGTAAACGTATAATTCATATTCTTAGGTGGCATGTGCATCAATTTTTAACATAATCTGAAATGAATGTTAATTTAAGGGTCACATTAAAATTAATTTACATTTAAGGTACAATGTAAAAAAATATTTTTTAGGGTATAAAATAAAAATTGAGACATCTTTTGGGGTACAAAGTATAAAAATCCCTATTTTAAAGGTGAACTGCACTTTGCAAAAACCCATAAGATTTAAAATTTTTAATTGATACCTTTAAAGATTATATTTTTTATATTGTAGTTTTAATATATTAAAACTATTACAATATACCATTTTTGTTAATTTTCGTTGCTCATTTTATGAAAATATTTCATTGGCATTGACAAAAATGAGCAACAAAAGTTAACGAAAAAATTAAATTATAACACTCTTTTAATGCATTAAAGATATAATATAAAAAATTTAATTTTTAAAGGTATAAATAAAAATTATTAAATTCTTTAGAGTGTAAAATACAATTCACCCTTACTTTTATCACAATGCATTGGTATATTCGTCATTTCCAATCTAAGTTTTAATCTCATTTTTTTCTCCGTTCCTTGGGAGAAAAGACATCTTTGAGGGTTTAAGTAAAAATTATTAAATTTTTTATAGTGCAAAATGTTCTTCACCCTTACTTTTATCACAATACATTGATATATTCGTTAATTCGAATATTACTTTTAACATATTTTTTCTCCTTTGAGAGAAAATATAGTGCTATGTGAACGATCGTCTAATAATGAGATAATAAATAAGAAAATAGATCTCACACAATTAAGAATTACTCAAAAAAAAAATGTAGACTAGTGATATACATTTTATCTATTTTTTTTTATTGAATGATGACTTCACGTGATGGTAATAATAGCGTCACCATTAGATTGAACATTTACTCCTTCCTCGGGATGATTTATTGTAAAAGAACAATGTTATAGAAACTTAATATGAGAATCTAATTTAATAATTATGAATTAAATGTTAGATAGAATATATTTTTCATCAAATAATTATAATTGATTAAATCTCTAAAGTTCGTCCTCCAATTAAGTCCAAACAACATTTTCCACCATAAAAATGAAAGCTTGGGAGGTTAGTTCTCCCATATGCTGCAACAATTCCTCCCAAAAGGGTTCTCCAAGTATTGATATTTGATTATAGGTAAAAAAATATGGTTTTTCATCTTCCTACCCGATATTTTTTGAAAGAATTTTTTTTGGGCCTATCGTACCCGATCAAATGTGGTATTCTAACCCGACTTCTGGCCAAATTAATCGAGTAAGAAGTTGGGTAGAAAATCGGGTGAATATTTTTGTAATTATTAATTTTTGGATCATTTTAATAATTAAATTAAATAACATGAACAAATTTAATAACACAATAAACCAATAATATTAAAACTTAAAATAATTACAACAATAATGACAATAAAATTAATTTCTACTACCATAAAATTACAATAACAAAATTCACCCTTACTTTTATCACAATGCATTGGTATATTCGTCGTTTCGAATATTACTTTTAACCTCTCTTTTTTCTCGGTTCCTTAGGAGAAAAGACATCTTTGAGGGTACAAGTAAAAATTATTAAATTTTTTATAGTGCAAAATGTTTTTCACCCTTACTTTTATCACAATACATTGATATATTCGTCGATTCGAACATTACTTTTAACATTTTTTTTTCTCCTTTGAGAGAAAATATGGTGTTATATGGTATAATCCTCTAATAATAAGATAATAAATAGGAAAATGGATCTCACACAATTAAGAATTACTCAAAAAAAAATGTAGTGATATACATTTTGTCTATTTAATTTTTTTTATTGAATGATGACATCACGTGATGGTAATATTAGTGTCACCATTAGATTGAACATTTACTCCTTCCTCGGGATGATTTATTGTAAAAGAACAATGTTATAGAAACTTAATTTGAGAATCTAATTTAATAATTATGAATTAAATGTTGGATGAAATATATTTTTCATCCAACAATTATAATTGATTAAGTCTCTAAAGTTCGTCCCCCAATTAAGTCCAAACAACATTTTTCACCATAAAAATGAAAGCTTGGGAGGTTAGTTCTCCCGTATGCTGCAATTCCTCCCAAAAAGGATTCTTCAAGTATTGATATTGATTATTAGGGGTGTTCATCCTATTTTACAGGTAAAAAATATGGTCTTTCGTCTTCTTATCAGATACTTTGCGAATTTGTTTTTCTTGGTCTACCCTACTCGATCAAGTGTGGTATTCTAAACCGATTTCCAGCCAAATTAATGGAGTAGGAAGTCGGGTGAATACTTTTGTAATTATTAATTTTTGGATCATTTTAACAATTAAATTAAATAACATGCACCAATTTAATAACATAATAAACCAATAACACTAAAACTTAAAAACAATTATAACAACACTTACAATAAAACACAAGAAGGCATAAACATCAATTCATCATAATTGTTGCATAAATACAATAACAATTATTTTAAGTTTAAACTATTTGGTTAGAAAGTTAGGTTTTTAAGTTTTTATATATATAAATAAATTAATACGAGTAGGGTAGAGTAAGGTAAAAATACGAAAATTAATGATTATTTCGTATTCCTACCCGATTTTTTCGGCTAGCCATTCAATAAAGTCAGGTAAGATAGAAAATTACGATTAATTAAAAATTTGAACACCCTTAATGATTACTAAGTTGGAATCATTGTGAACTTGAAAAGTTAACAATCTTGAGTTTTCTTCCCCAAATCAGAATACCACGAGAGGTAATAGATATAAGTTGGAAATTTAGATATCTTAAATAAAAATTTTGACAATTTTTTGAGGATTAGACTATGAGAGATTTAACCCTAAAAAATATTTTAGTTCTGACATGAATTATTGGCCTATGACCAAACTAGGGAGGGAATTAACTTTCATACCAAACTAAATAAAGTTGGGTTCGAACTCTCTCGTTTTAACATATTGTCCATTTTTATTATTTGGATTATATTTCATAAAATTCTTCATGTCCTTGTCATAGTGTTACTATGATATTCGATGGGTCTCTGTAAAACTTAATTAAGTTTAAAAACTTTGAAACTAGGAGCATCCAAATCCAAATCCAAATTGACCACTTCGTNAACATGATGATGAAAAAATAACAATACAATTCTTGAGCAAATATTCCAACCAGACGACGGACCATTAATGCGTAAGAACAAAACAATAACTGCCCGCTTGGGACAACCAACAATTGCCAAAACAAGATCAATAAGGGGTAAGTATGATGTTAAAGCAGATGAGAATTGAAAATGAGCAAACTGTATGAGATAACAACCTTCTTCCAGTCTTAACAAAACATGAGAAGCCCAACATTGGCCATGAAACTCAGGCATTGGGAAGTTTGCAATCATGGAATTTGTCTTTCATTACTTAAATACAAATTAAAGTAAAAGTTCTAATCAGGGAAGCTAACAAAACAAAACAGAGCAATTGATGAACCTTGGAAGCGGAAAATTCAGCACACATCACCAAAAATGCTTTTCCAGGTGAGCGACAAACAAATTTCAGAGCTCAAACTACAAGAGCACAAGCCCAAGTTCTGATGATCTTAAGACATGTTTTATTCGGAAGTTGTAGAGGTAGTAGTGGAGTTTCCCATCGCCAGGCCCAAATTTCAGTTCCTTCAAGAAACATTCATTTTGCATTACATCCAACGCATTGAAAACATCATAATCCTTCCGTTTTGCAACAATGAGAGCATCATTCATCAACTGAAGCAATGGAGTTTTTGTGGACACGTTGTAGTAAGAATAAGCAGCCTTCAAAGTCGAGTAATTCTGGTTGCCAAGGATAGTCGAGGGCAATGTGTAAAAACTGCAAAAATCTGTTATCTCATGAGTCTCGGGGCTTTCAACCAGGAAGCTGTCCACCACATTCTCCCTTGGAAGAAGCCAGTGCTCTACATCATTTTCATCAAAGTCAGGTGCAACATCAAACTGCTTCAAGTAATTCCTAAGTAGACGGGTAACTGCTGGAACATCATGGGGTTCCATCTTTCTAAACCCAGGTGTGGCTGTTTGATCTGGTAACTTGTACAGCTTTATTGTCCGGCTCATTGTCATCCTTGCACCAAGCCTAGAAAAGCCGACATCAATAAGCTTCTTTGGATTCAAAGATCTATGCCAATATTGACAAGTTGCTATGGGTGTGGGAAGAACCACCCCGGCAGTATAAGCTGCTTGCCAGATATTCTCTAAGTGGACCCTCCTAGTCACCTCCTTAATCATGACAGGAGCAAGTCTTTTCGATCTAAGCTTCTTATGAACACAAAGAAAATTAATCTCTGCCATGTTGACAACAGTATCCCGAGCCCGGATTCTTGCGGGAACTCCAGTAATAAAAGCAACTAACTTTTTTGAACTCTTTACTCGTACTCCAATATGCCAGCTCCTGTAATAACCTGGAGGTCGAAGCGCCCATTGGAGGAACTCCCTGGAATAGTTAAATCTAAACATGTTCTCATCATCCTCAACATAATTATTGGAGAGGAGGTTATAAACCTCAATGCACATATCTTCTGAGTCCATATCACAGGTAATCCACTCATACAGATTGGGGAGATTATACGGTTCTTGTTTGACTTCTGACAGGGGTGTCGGGGGTTCAATCGGGCCTTCAGGCAAGCTCGTGTCCCCAAGGTCCTTGAACTGCCCAACAGGTTGGGTTTCCCAAAACTTGTGTCTCTTTGACATAGAGAGTGATTCTTGAACCTTTCGTGCTAGTGCATCAATTGAAATTTCACTCTCATTCTCAGAAGGTGAATTTCCATCAGGGCTAGGGTTTTCATTTTCACCCATCGAATTAGAACTGGAATTCTTGTCAGCCATTTTCAACTGATTGAAATTGAGTTACTCTGTATAGCAAGCACAGTATTCACATAAAAAACTCAGAACAAAACAACAACTGTTTGATTCTTGAAACACAAGAAGGAAAAAGAACGCATTCAACTCAAATAGAATCATATTTATAAACCTGTGATTATATAATATATCAGTCTTAGATTTCTCTCTAAGTTGGATCTGCCAAAACCAAAAACTTTATTCATTATGCCCAATACAATTATTTCCTCAAAATGGTAAAAATTACCCACAAAAGATTCTTTCATCGTTCCAATGATTTCATCTTACTGGGATATCTTAACCTTGATTTCTTTCATCGTGGGTGTTTACCAAATTGGCACAGAGGAGAAAACAGAAGGATATATTCAAGAGAGAAATCCATGAAAACAAACAACAGATTTTTTGGGATCTAAACAAATAATAGCACAAAAAAAACAAGAAATTTAACATAGAAAACTGCAAAAATTGAGACCGAATTGAGGGGAATTTACCTGGGGTTTCGACCTAAGGGCGACTTTGGCGAGAATTCGTTGGAGTTGGGCGTTTATGAGAGATCAGAGAGAGGATTTATATGAGAGAGAAAATAAATTGGGGGAAAACTTTGGTAACTACGAAGCTGTGGGTGGAAAGAATCATGGAATTCGTCGACTACCAAGTAATGGTAATACTANCGTTGGAGTTGGGCGTTTATGAGAGATCAGAGAGAGGATTTATATGAGAGAGAAAACAAATTGGGGGAAAACTTTGGTAACTACGAAGCTGTGGGTGGAAAGAATCATGGAATTCGTCGACTACCAAGTAATGGTAATACTAATACTAATACTATTACTAGTCTAGTGGTATCCAGTAGTAGTGTGGAAATAGCGCAACCTTTTGTTATTTTTAGGGATTTTTTGCACTTTGTACCCCTAAAAGTTGTCTTAATTTCTATTTTGTATTTTGAAAGATTATTTTTTTATATAATACCCTAAGTATCATAAATTAATTCTAATGTGGCCACTGAACTAATATCCGTTTCAGATTTCGTTAAAAATTAATGTATATGTCACTCGTGTAGTGTTCTTAAGCAAAAACGTAAACGTATAATTCATATTCTTAGGTGGCATGTGCATCAATTTTTAACATAATCTGAAATGAATGTTAATTTAAGGGTCACATTAAAATTAATTTACATTTAAGGTACAATGTAAAAAAATATTTTTTAGGGTATAAAATAAAAATTGAGACATCTTTTGGGGTACAAAGTATAAAAATCCCTATTTTAAAGGTGAACTGCACTTTGCAAAAACCCATAAGATTTAAAATTTTTAATTGATACCTTTAAAGATTATATTTTTTATATTGTAGTTTTAATATATTAAAACTATTACAATATACCACTTTCGTTAATTTTCGTTGCTCATTTTATGAAAATATTTCATTGGCATTGACAAAAATGAGCAACAAAAGTTAACGAAAAAATTAAATTATAACACTCTTTTAATGCATTAAAGATATAATATAAAAAATTTAATTTTTAAAGGTATAAATAAAAATTATTAAATTCTTTAGAGTGTAAAATACAATTCACCCTTACTTTTATCACAATGCATTGGTATATTCGTCATTTCCAATCTAAGTTTTAATCTCATTTTTTTCTCCGTTCCTTGGGAGAAAAGACATCTTTGAGGGTTTAAGTAAAAATTATTAAATTTTTTATAGTGCAAAATGTTCTTCACCCTTACTTTTATCACAATACATTGATATATTCGTTAATTCGAATATTACTTTTAACATATTTTTTCTCCTTTGAGAGAAAATATAGTGCTATGTGAACGATCGTCTAATAATGAGATAATAAATAAGAAAATAGATCTCACACAATTAAGAATTACTCAAAAAAAAAATGTAGACTAGTGATATACATTTTATCTATTTTTTTTTATTGAATGATGACTTCACGTGATGGTAATAATAGCGTCACCATTAGATTGAACGTTTACTCCTTCCTCGGGATGATTTATTGTAAAAGAACAATGTTATAGAAACTTAATATGAGAATCTAATTTAATAATTATGAATTAAATGTTAGATAGAATATATTTTTCATCAAATAATTATAATTGATTAAATCTCTAAAGTTCGTCCTCCAATTAAGTCCAAACAACATTTTCCACCATAAAAATGAAAGCTTGGGAGGTTAGTTCTCCCATATGCTGCAACAATTCCTCCCAAAAGGGTTCTCCAAGTATTGATATTTGATTATAGGTAAAAAAATATGGTTTTTCATCTTCCTACCCGATATTTTTTGAAAGAATTTTTTTTGGGCCTATCGTACCCGATCAAATGTGGTATTCTAACCCGACTTCTGGCCAAATTAATCGAGTAAGAAGTTGGGTAGAAAATCGGGTGAATATTTTTGTAATTATTAATTTTTGGATCATTTTAATAATTAAATTAAATAACATGAACAAATTTAATAACACAATAAACCAATAATATTAAAACTTAAAATAATTACAACAATAATGACAATAAAATTAATTTCTACTACCATAAAATTACAATAACAAAATTCACCCTTACTTTTATCACAATGCATTGGTATATTCGTCATTTCCAATCTTACTTTTATTCTCATTTTTTTCTCCGTTCCTTGGGAGAAAAGACATCTTTGAGGGTTTAAGTAAAAATTATTAAATTTTTTATAGTGCAAAATGTTCTTCACCCTTACTTTTATCACAATACATTGATATATTCGTTAATTCGAATATTACTTTTAACATATTTTTTCTCCTTTGAGAGAAAATATAGTGCTATGTGAACGATCGTCTAATAATGANAATGTTCTTCACCCTTACTTTTATCACAATACATTGATATATTCGTTAATTCGAATATTACTTTTAACATATTTTTTCTCCTTTGAGAGAAAATATAGTGCTATGTGGAACGATCGTCTAATAATGAGATAATAAATAAGAAAATAGATCTCACACAATTAAGAATTACTCAAAAAAAAAAATGTAGACTAGTGATATACATTTTATCTATTTTTTTTTATTGAATGATGACATCACGTGATGGTAATAATAGCGTCACCATTAGATTGAACATTTACTCCTTCCTCGGGATGATTTATTGTAAAAGAACAATGTTATAGAAACTTAATATGAGAATCTAATTTAATAATTATGAATTAAATGTTAGATAGAATATATTTTTCATCAAATAATTATAATTGATTAAATCTCTAAAGTTCGTCCTCCAATTAAGTCCAAACAACATTTTCCACCATAAAAATGAAAGCTTGGGAGGTTAGTTCTCCCATATGCTGCAACAATTCCTCCCAAAAGGGTTCTCCAAGTATTGATATTTGATTATAGGTAAAAAATATGATTTTTCATCTTCCTACCCGATATTTTGTGAAAGAATTTTTTTTGGGCCTACCGTACCCGATCAAATGTGGTATTCTAACCCGACTTCCGGCCAAATTAATCGGGTAAGAAGTTGGGTAGAAAATCGGGTGAATATTTTTGTAATTATTAATTTTTGGATCATTTTAATAATTAAATTAAATAACATGCACCAATTTAATAACACAATAAACCAATAATATTAAAAATTAAAATAATTACAACAATAATTACAATAAAATTAATTTCTACTACCATAAAATTACAATAACAAAATTTGAACACCCTTAATGATTACTAAGTTGGAATCATTGTGAACTTGAAAAGTTAACAATCTTGAGTTTTCTTCCCCAAATCAGAATACCACGAGAGGTAATAGATATAAGTTGGAAATTTAGATATCTTAAATAAAAATTTTGACAATTTTTTGAGGATTAGACTGTGAGAGATTTAACCCTAAAAAATATTTTAGTTCTGACATGAATTATTGGCCTATGACCAAACTAGGGAGGGAATTAACTTTCATACCAAACTAAATAAAGTTGGGTTTGAAGTCTCTCGTTTTAACATATTGTCCATTTTTATTAAGTGGATTATATTTCATAAAATTCTTCATGTCCTTGTCATAGTGTTACTATGATATTCGATGGGTCCCTGTAAAACTTAATTAAGTTTAAAAACTTTGAAACTAGGAGCATCCAAATCCAAATCCAAATTGACCACTTCATATTCAACATCTTCTTCCTTTTTTTCTAGTCCATTGAACTTGTAATGCTCAATGCTTTGGCATCTCAACTTTAATGTAGAAGAGTGGATATTAAATTCATACCTATTCTAATATTAGAATAGGGGATTGGTTCTTTTAGCCTTTTAGGTCTGTTGGTACAATTTAATATCATACATGTACATGAATGTTATCTAATATATATATATATATTCATTATTTTCAATACATGAATTAATTGTATACATGAACTCTAAAATATTCCAAGAGCCTATGATCTCTAAAATATGCATTTGAGGTTTTGAAAATAACAACCATCCTACACTTAAACAATATCACACACACTTGAGAGTTAAGACCAAAGAAAGGTGTTCTTATTGGTGGAGTTTTAGACATAACTACTTCTACAGATTTGGTTAGAATCATAAGATGAAACTGTCGGGCTGTTGTATCTTAGAGGAGACAAATTAAATGAGAAGGTTTGTTGTATCGCATTAGAGTTTTTCCATTTGCAAAGAACTTGAATTTCCTTAAAGAGAGCAAGATACCCGCGCCTTAACATGAATTGTTTTGTATCAAAATTTTATTTTCTTCTNAATTTCCTTAAAGAGAGCAAGATACCCGCGCCTTAACCTGAATTGTTTTGTATCAAAATTTTATTATCTTGTACTTTGTTTCTCAATTTATTATAATTACACAAACAAGGTCCATTTTGGACTTTAAAGTTTTGAGATACGTTGCTCATGTCTACTAATTTTGATAGTGGTGTAAGACCAATTTTAAATGAATCGTAGTCTGGGACATTTTGATTCAACTCTTGATGATAACTTTCGAGTCTAATTGATATTCATATTTATAATAAGCATCTAATTGTAGTTATCTATCTAAAGTTTATGCACTAATGGATTCAATACGATCCTAATTAATTTGGAGAGTTTCACATCATGAAGAAAAAGATAGCACTACCACATGAATAGAGAAGCAATTGGAAAGCCAATAAGACCAATTTACCCCTAATATGTCTCAACCTTGACAAAACCAAACCTTGTGCCAATCATTATCCAAAATAGACTTGTTGTCAAACGATATATGTCTCAATTTCAATTTAGTCATTTCGTCTAGATTCATTAGTTTTTTTCGACATACANCTTGACAAAACCAAACCTTGTGCCAATCATTATCCAAAATAGACTTGTTGTCAAACAAAGTTTTATATTTATACTTATGCTCCTCTCTTCCTCTCTTGACCTATTGCCACATTCTTGCAATCAAAAGCCTACAAAAGTGAAAATTCCCTCATTTTGGTCATTATCTATGGAGAGATTTACTGATGATGAGCAATTTTTTTTCTCGAATAATTTATAATTTACACATTTAAAGTATGCATATAATTTTTATTTAGTCTATGAAGTTTTAATTAATACAATTACATCCTTAAAATTTTAACCGAATTTCAATTTAGTCATTTCGTCTAGATTCATTAGTTTTTTTCAACATAAANGTCTCAACCTTGACAAAACCAAACCTTGTGCCAATCATTATCCAAAATAGACTTGTTGTCAAACGATATATGTCTCAATTTCAATTTAGTCATTTCGTCTAGATTCATTAGTTTTTTTCGACATACAAACGTCACAGGATATATACCTATAAGTATATTTGTTTAACAAAAAATATTTCTCTCAAATATATCTATATTTCTTTCTTTGCAGCACAATATCTCTCAAATTCTTACACCATATCTATTTTTTCTCTCTCAAAATTAGATGAAATAAAGTAAGAATTCCTTGCAAACGCCTAAAAAATACCCAAATCATGTATTGGTCATAAAAGACCATTCCGTTATAATAAATTAGTGAATTTTTTACGATAGGATTAAATTTAATCTCTAAAATAATTTAATTTTTACAATTGAAACTTCAACAAACAAATATAAATTAAGTATATACTTTAAGAATAAAAGTTATATTTAACTTTTTATTTTTTGTTGAATTGGTATATGTATAATGCATCTATCGTCTATTCCTGGCACTTAAAAGGCAAAATCAGATGTCAAAACATTAGGAAAGTAAATATCACATAATTCAATAATTATTTCATCTAAGATCATTTAATAACCACCTCATGTGGATATCTAGGGTCTATCGGTTATTGTTTTTTTAAATTTAATTAATTAATATAATTTACCGCAGCAGTTGGATTAACAAGAAGTCCCAAGGATGAGATCAACTACCAAGTCAACAATTATTAGAACAATCACTTATATCAATATATTATAATTTTATAATATTATTTAATTACAATTAAATAATAATACTATGACCACTATAAGAAAATCTTTTTTCTACCCAAAACTGATATTTGAGTCGGCTTTATAAGTTCCAAACGAGCTAAACTCGAATAGTTTAATTATTTTATATTACATATAAGCGAATTCAATTTTACAAGTTCGAGTTAAACCTTAAAAAAAATTATTTTTCTAAACAATCTTAAAAATTTGCTTAAGCTCGGTCGGCCCATTTAAAAAACAAGTTGAGTTTGAGTCGAGTCTTATAATGGTAGAATCCAAGTCAAATTTGAATAACTTGACTCAATTATCAACCCTAAGTATGCTATAAATAACAAAAACAAAACCGAGCCGCCATAAATGTAATTAAGAAAACTAGCTAGGGGCAAATATGGAAATTAGGTAAAAGGAAGGAGGGCAAGATCACTCCTAGTTCCAATATAATGAAAGCTTCTCCCCCTTTCCCCCATCCTCTTTTCCAGCAAAACACATTCAACTCCACGGCGCAGATCCGAGGAGTTGGGAAAACCCTAGACAGAGCTCTCTCTTCAGCATCAACCAACCTCTTCACCGATTTCTCTCGAATCCAATCTCAAAGTACGTCCTCTGTTCTCTTCCTCTACAATCGATCTGTAAGAGATTTAGTTTTATACTTCCTTGTATGTTTTCATCTATGTATTCGGGGAGAATTTCATACACTTGTGCTAGAATTGATCTGTTTGTTCTTTTACGTGATTCAAGATTCTAGTTTTTATTAACCTTCTGTTTGGTTGCTAAGAAAACTGTTCCAAAAGGGAAAAAAAAACGAGACTTTTATGTTGTTTTTTGCTCTCGGAAATCGAAAGAGAGACAGTTTCAGCCGAATATTTATTTTTATTGCCCTTTATCTATTGCGTGAGTCTTGATGGGGGAGAAGGCAAAGGGGCTTCTGATTTTTGGAGGATGTATGTCCTAGTTATCAGATAGCCACCTTTCATTTAAAAAAATCTTCCCCATATACTTAGACAGAAGTTTAATGCTTGTACTCCGTGTTGTATGGCTTGCAAGTTTGGCTCTTCTGTTAAATTTTACTCTTAATAAAGAAGATGTCTGTGTTTTGGGTGGCCTTGAATGGTTTATTAGCTTAGGAATAGATCATATGATTGGACCATCTCCCCTGCTTTGCGGTGGGTTGTTTTGTCTGTTGGGCAGGGAGGTGTGGAAACTCGGTCGTTCTGATATTATGTGGAATCTGATATTATGTGGAATGCTCGCTATAATTTTTTTTCAAAGATGTTCTTTTTCCTGTGATCCAAATAAGGTTTGGATGATTCAGTGTTGAAGCACCAGTCTTTGGTCTAATCTCAGGATCTTAAGTTGAGTACTGTTCTTTATATGTGATTGCATTCTGGCTGCAGTCATGGCAGGTGTGGCACCAGAGGGATCACAATTTGATGCTCGTCAATATGACGCTAAAATGAATGACTTGTAAGCTTCTTATTCATATGACTGACTAACTGTTTATTTTCTTAAGAAATGTATGTGTATATACTTGGTTAGACTGGACGCTAATACTTACAGCTGGAGCTGGTTTAATGAATTGATTGGTGCAGAATTGCAGCTGATGGACAAGATTTCTTCACATCATATGACGAGGTTCATGAGAGTTTTGATGCTATGGGATTGCTAGAGAACCTCCTTAGGGGCATCTATGCTTATGGTATGTATTCTGATGATGTTGTTCCCTTCTCAAAGATGTGAATCCAAATTTTATTGTTTGTTTTGCCAGTTACTTGGACAATTTAAGGCGTGTTTGACCACCCATTGTAGAATTGTTATAGAGTTGATGTTTTAATCATTGCAAAAAACTTATAGTTTTAGAACCTTACCTCATAAAAGTTGTATGTTTAACAAATTTCTTAGTTTAGCAATATGCGGCTTATGAAGTATAAATCTTTTTTGTCATTCAACTAAAACTATTGCTACATTTTGCTTTGTTATAAACTTTTATATTTAATTTTTAGGTTTTGAGAAGCCGTCTGCAATCCAGCAAAAGGGAATTGTTCCATTTTGCAAGGGCCTTGATGTTATTCAGCAAGCCCAGTCTGGTACTGGGAAAACAGCTACTTTCTGCTCTGGAGTCTTGCAACAGCTCGATTATGGTTTGGTCCAATGTCAGGCCTTGGTTTTGGCACCCACCCGAGAACTTGCCCAACAGATTGAGAAGGTAATGCGAGCTCTTGGTGACTATCTGGGTGTGAAGGTTCATGCTTGTGTAGGTGGAACTAGTGTTCGTGAGGATCAACGCATTCTTCAAGCTGGTGTTCACGTAGTAGTTGGCACCCCTGGTCGTGTGTTTGACATGCTGCGAAGGCAGTCACTTCGACCTGATTATATTAAGATGTTTGTATTGGATGAGGCAGATGAAATGCTTTCACGAGGTTTTAAGGATCAGGTACTTACTTTTTATCCATTTTCTTTGATATTTAGATTGTGTGTGTGGTTGATTTTGATGTGTGTGAACATGTACATGTAAATGTATACATATGCATGCATGTTTGTGCGTACAAGTTGTGGATAAGGACACTATCACATTGGTCTGCTTTTGTAAGATGAACGCCTTTCTGTCACAAATCACGTGTTCGTTAAATGTGGTCAAAGAAGAAACCAATTAAGCTGAAGTAACTTTCTTTGTGCTAGTTTGTATGTGCGTGGTTTTTGACTTTTCATTTTTTTCGTGGTTGTGGGTGGGCTCTTGCATCTGCAGGGGTTTTTTTTTTTGGTTCATTTTATCTATCTGAAAACTAACCATTTGTACTATTGCGGCTCAAGCCAATTTGAGGTCTAAAATAGAAACATTAAATGAAAGTCTTTTTATTTTTAGTATTAATTTTTTTAAAAAATTAATATATTTTTAATTTTTTATGTGAGCTGGAGATAAAAGAAGGATGTGTTAATATTGTTGAGAAATAGATTTCAACTTTTTTTTTGTTTAATTNGAGATAAAAGAAGGATGTGTTAATATTGTTGAGAAATAGATTTCAACTTTTTTTTTTGTTTAATTTCAACTTTTATTTTTGTTTTTTATTTTTTATTTTTTTTTACGAGAAAGAGAGAGAGAGAGAGAGAGTAAATATGAGTTGACTTTTGAGTATTTTTTTAATTTTTAAGTTTTTAATGTTATGGATTGGATTATAAGCTCAAATTATTGCAATCAAAATTTTGATTGGATTTAATTTTTTGGGGCTTTTTTGTAGGGCTTAAAATTTAATGGATTTAATTTTTTTTGTGGGTTAGGGATGTACCAAAAATTATGGGGCCTAATGCCATGCTTTTTTTCCATGCTGTTGGGCCGACCCTGCATTTGTATAGGATTTGCAGTGCATGTACATTGTGCAGGATTATCTTTTTTTTGGATTTATTGTTGCACTTGCAGTTTTCTGGTAGTTCATTTTTTCCTTCTCTCTATTATCTTATGTGAAAGGGTGTACAAATGGATTAAATTTCTGGCATATGGAACTCTGATTTGAGAATGGATTTCAAGTATGTTAGGCAGTTACTTTTTCACTTGATATGGTTATTGCTCGTTGAAATTATATTTGTATCTTAAATTTTTTGTTTTTCCCTTTGCTTATTCAAATTGTTCCCAGTAAGTCTGTGTTTGATCCGTTTTTATGGAGTTTTGAGAGCTCTGTGGGGATTCAATGGATTATGTTTTGATATGGGTTATTTTGCTGTCAGATCTATGACATATTCCAGCTGCTGCCTTCTAAAGTTCAAGTGGGGGTCTTTTCTGCCACAATGCCACCTGAAGCCCTCGAGATCACTAGGAAGTTTATGAATAAGCCAGTGAGGATTTTGGTGAAACGTGATGAGCTAACTCTTGAGGGTATCAAGCAATTTTATGTCAATGTGGAAAAGGAAGATTGGAAGCTTGAAACACTCTGCGATCTCTATGAGACCCTGGCTATCACCCAGAGTGTCATTTTTGTTAACACGCGGCGCAAGGTTGACTGGCTTACTGACAAAATGCGAAGCCGCGACCACACAGTTTCAGCCACCCATGGAGACATGGATCAGAATACTCGGGATATAATCATGCGTGAATTCCGCTCTGGCTCCTCTCGTGTTCTGATCACCACTGATCTTTTGGCTCGTGGAATCGATGTCCAGCAGGTATCTCTTGTCATAAACTATGATCTTCCAACTCAGCCCGAAAATTATCTCCATCGAATTGGACGAAGTGGGCGGTTTGGAAGAAAAGGAGTTGCCATAAATTTTGTGACTAAGGAAGATGAGAGAATGCTGTTCGACATTCAGAAGTTCTATAATGTCGTCGTTGAAGAACTGCCATCCAATGTTGCGGATCTCCTCTGAAGAGGTTTTTATGAGTTTATGGAGGTAAGGTTAAGGGGCTTTCCATCTCTTAAACACTAGTTAATCATGTATTGGTTCTCTGCCTAGTTTCATAATTTATTGTCTCAAAGCAGATCTGACCTAATGATATGGGTCCTGCATCTTTTGCAATCTGGTGGGTTAGTGTCAAGTCTACCATTTCAGGTGGTGGTTGCATACAGCATTGCAAATTTTGTTGCAGGTGGGGTTTTGTATCGTCTTGTCTCGTCTTTTCTTTTACTTTTAGTTAAAAATTTTGGTTAATTGCCCGAAGGTTTGTAGTTTGGATTGATTTATTTAAATGTTAAGTTTTTTGAATTCTCAGCAATGGGTAATACATTATAAATGGGATGATGTGTTATTCTTGTTAGTGATGACTAGATCTGTTCTTTAACTTTTCAGCCTCCTACATATCTTTTTGGTGCATTCATTGGCAGCTAAAACTGTGGTTTATTCTTACCGTTACCATGAACAAATTTTCAATTGGCATTGCTTGTTTTTGTACTCGTTTTGGGGGCAATGATGACTCTGGATCCGGATTCGTAATGCTGTCGAGAAAAATATTAGTCAAACATGGAATATATTGATTCCGGGTTTGTTTTACCCAATCCAGGAGAGATATCCCACGAGCCAAACGGTCGCTTTTGTTTTGCTGTGAATGATTTGGAGTGCTTTACCCGAAGCCAACGAATCCAATAAAAAAGACAAGCTGCGCATCACTGTATATCTCAAAGTTAGGCCCTAACAATTTGTCATGCTACAACCTATTCTTTGTNTTGTTTTGCTGTGAATGATTTGGAGTGCTTTACCCGAAGCCAACGAATCCAATAAATAGGACAAGCTGCACATCACTGTATATCTCAAAGTTAGGCCCCAACAATTTGTCATGCTACAACTTATTCTTTTTTTTCTAATTTCTAGCGATGTGCCAANCATCACTGTATATCTCAAAGTTAGGCCCCAACAATTTGTCATGCTACAACCTATTCTTTGTTTTCTAATTTCTAGCGATGTGCCAAAATTTAGTCAGTTGTACTCGAGCTTAAGGTTGATAATTAAATTGAGTTATTCGAGTTGGGTTCAGGTTTAACTTGTTTTGAGCTTATTTAGACTTGAACTTGAACAGTTTTTGTGACTCGTTTAAAAATCTGTCTCAGCTAAGGTGCAGATGTATAATTGTCATTTACAAGCCAATTTTTGATAAATTTGTTTGCAGACCACCTCTCTCTCTCTCTTATTTCAAAAANGCTAAGGTGCAGATGTATAATTGTCATTTACAAGCCAATTTTTGATAAATTTGTTTACAGACCACCTCTCTCTCTTATTTCAAAAACTACCGAGTTACTCTCGCTAAATGTTTACGCAAGTTCAATTAACTTTTTTTTTTTCCTGATCTAAACTCTTTAAATAAAATTTAGTATACACATAATTACTCTTTTTTCTTGTGGCAATAATGATAAAGTGGTCAATCTGTCTCTCTCCCTCATCATTCATCAGCAAGGCTCCTCATATGAAGTCTTATCTTCTTAATGATGTATGTTTTTAGGATAATGTAAATGCTTATTAAATTTTTTTATCAAACTTTCATTTCAAATGATGACGACACCGTTTTTCACCATCAGATAAGTAGATTATATTAATATTTAACTAGATTACANTATCTTCTTAATGATGTATGTTTTTAGGATAATGTAATTGCTTATTAAATTTTTTTATCAAACTTTCATTTCAAATGATGACGACACCGTTTTTCACCATCAGATAAGTAGATTATATTAATATTTAACGATGAAAATTGTGCCAACTCGTTTGAATGGAATGAAAGATTTGATAATTTTTTTTGATAAATATTACATTTTCCATTTTTTTTGTGGGTTGACTGTACTGTATTCCTTCACCTAACAAAGAATGAATTACTACTAATCTGCCGGATATTTTTAATGCAAAACTGAGGAAAGACGAGAGCTTGAGGAGGGGTGTTCAAATTTTTGATTGGTCGTAAATTTTTACCCTAGTCAACTCTCCCCTACCTTATTGAACAGCTAGTCGCAAAAATTTGGTAGGAATGCGAAATATCCATCAATTTTCGTATTCTTACCCTATTCTACCAGTAAAAAATATATTTAATTTTTTATATTTTTTTTAGTAATTGTAAGAGTATTTGTGTAGTATAATTTATATTATAACATTGTTATTGTTGTAGATGTTTGAATTGCGAAAATATAAACTTTTTTTTTTGTGTAGGTTACATGATTTGTGGTGAACNAACATTGTTATTGTTGTAGATGTTTGAATTGCGAAAATATAAACTTTTTTTTTTGTAGGTTACATGATTTGTGGTGAACTAGTGAACTATTGGAACAATTATGATTTTAATGTGTTTTATATGGTTTAAACTTAAAATAATTGTTTGTATTTGTGTAACAATTATGATGGATTGATGTTCATGCTTTCTTATGTTTTATTGTAATTGTTGTTGTAGTTGTTTTAAATTTTAGTGTTATTGTATTATTAAATTGGTGCATGTTATTTAATTGAATTGTTAAAATAATTCAAAAATTAATAACTACAAAAGTGTTTATCCGATTATTCGGGTAAAAAATTGAGTAGGCTAAGAAAAAAAAATTATTTTCTACAAGGAATGAATTACTACTAATCTTNCTTATGTTTTATTGTAATTGTTGTTGTAGTTGTTTTAAATTTTAGTGTTATTGTATTATTAAATTGGTGCATGTTATTTAATTGAATTGTTAAAATAATTCAAAAATTAATAACTACAAAAGTGTTTATCCGATTATTCGGGTAAAAAATTGAGTAGGCTAAGAAAAAAAAATTCTTTTCTACAAAGCATGAATTACTACTACTAATCTTCATACTTTACAAAAGTAGTATACACAGGACACCTCTGTGAAAATAATTGAGAAGCCGACCTTTGGTGGGACTGATTCAGTTGTGATCCGGGTCCCACCTACGAGAAGTGAGTAATAAAATTCAACGGTCTTGATGTTGTCACAGAATTGTTTGCACATTTATACAGGTCATTGTGCCTCACCCACCCAATGCCAGATTTGGTCAAAAACTCCAGCCTAATACTCTCTATTTGCCGGTCAACTTTGTTGTCTACCCATTACCCATACGCCTTTGTCATTTGTCATATTTGCCAACTAGTAATAGATGTGACATATTGGGGTGTTAAAAAATCATTCAACGTAGGAGTATTTAACAATAACGAACTGGATTAATTAAGATCAATCCAAATCAATCTTAGTATATTAAATTCTATTGACTGCTAATTTTACCCACTTTTTGTATGCCACAAAACAATGGATTTCTCTAAACTAAATATACCTCAAAAAACAGATAGTATTTTGCATGAAAGCTGTTTGAAATTTGAACCTTCAAATCTCATCATTACCATTGGTCTTTGTGACTTTTAAGTGTTACCCCACTTCAAAAGTTGTTACCCCACATCCTACCATCGGTCATTGTTGTACCTGAAGGTCTTAAAGTTGGCTACAGACAGAGAGAGACTTGCACACAAGGTATTCGGCCATATTCCCCTGTGGCATCTAACGTTTCACTTCCCTCTTTAAGCGTGCCAGCTACCCATCATTGGGCTATTCACACTTAAGCAGCTTCATCATGATGCAACTTGGGTGGGTGAAAAATAGAAAATACGTCCACCCAAGAAAAGTCAGCACTCCATTAAAGAGAAAAGAACATTTGGGATAAAGATTAAAGCCACTACCTTCAGCTCTTAACAAGCAATCAAAGTAACTCAAAAATAATACTGCACCCTGAAGCAGACCCATTCCACTCTCTCCCTTTTCTCTGCCTGTGAGAGTGTGTGAACTTTTTCATGGAGAATTTTAGATCTATGTCCACTAGAGAAGGTAGGATGCAGATGGAGAGCTATCATGGAGACGGATCAAATCCAACCAATATGCATGATCTGAGAAGTTACAGTACTTCTTATGTTTCATCTGTGCAGCCACCTCATATGGGTAAGGAGGTGATCAAGATCAAAAAAGGCAAGAGCAGTGTTGGACCTGCTTTAAAAAGTTGGAGTTTCAATGATCCTGAGTTGCAGAGAAAGAAGAGAGTTGTTGGGTACAAGGTCTATGGAGTGGAGGGTAAGATGAAGGGTTCTCTAAGGAAGAGCTTCAGGTGGATCAAGGACACTTTCAATGGATTGTGGTGATTTTTGGGTATTGCTGTTTCTTCAAAGAATTCTTTAATTCAAAATGTTTTTGTGATCAAAAAGATCATGGGATATGATGTATGTTTCTCTATGTCAATCGATCTATAATTATGGTATACTTATTATAATCGGATCATATAGGTTGTGGTCTTTCATAATTGAAATTGTGGCTTTGTTCTTCTTTAAGTTATTGGTTAGCTTTCCTACATTAAATTAAATCTACTTGTGAGTTTTGAAATGTATAAGCCAGTTTGGTCCTTGACAAGGGCTGCTGCTTTGGGGGTAATTTTGTATGGTTTTGAAGTCCATAATAAAGAGATTTAGGTGATAAATCTAGTAAATTAAATTAATGGTCAAATTTGATGCTTTTGTGATCATTTATCTTGTGAACATAGTTTGTTCTTTGTAGTGTTTGAAATTCATGAGGCCATCCTCTCCAATGTTTTTCTTAGGCAACCGTCCTGTATTCTTGTGCACATTCAAGAAATTGATTTTGCAATGTGATGGTAGACGTAACATCTGGGGATACTCTTAATATTATTGTGTTTGTTCTTTACCCCAACCATTTGCTTATCTTACCAAACAGATTATTGAAAACCTTCTGACTCAACACACAATGATTTATAATGTAAAATTTTGTGTTGATCAACCTTCTGAACAGTGATATGCTCACCCAACAAAGAATGATTTATTCTGTAAAATTTGTGTTGATCAACCTTCTGAACTGTGATGCTGTAAATGGTGTTGAGGAAGGCTGAAACATAGTATTATTGTCTGCGCTGATTCAACTTTATCTTTTGATAGAAGCAGTGAACAATTACGATTAGTGAATACTGAATACTATTACAGGCTCCTCACTGCCTCTGTAGGTGTTCTATGCTGAGAGTGTGTTANGAACTGTGATGCTGTAAATGGTGTTGAGGAAGGCTGAAACATAGTATTATTGTCTGAGCTGATTCAACTTTATCTTTTGATAGAAGCAGTGGACAATTACGATTAGTGAATACTGAATACTATTACAGGCTCCTCACTGCCTCTGTAGGTGTTCTATGCTGAGAGTGTGTAATCTCACCCAACACAGAATGATTTATAATGTAAAATTTTGTGTTGATCAGGCTTTGTGAACTGTGATGCTGTAAATGACGTTGTGGAAGGCCGAAACATAGTATTACTCTCTGAGGTGATTCAACTTTACCTTTTGATAGAAGCAGTGAGCATTTTATCATTAGCGAATGCTGTTCCATGCTCCTCACTGACCTCTGTAGGTGTTTGTTCTAAGCTGAGAAGCCTGAGCTTGTGTCATTGTGATCTCTCGATTTTGCAAGTGTAAAACACCTTTTTAGGTTCCTTTTTTCCCTTAGCAGAATATATATCTCCATGAGCACACCTTCTATAGTTCAAATCTAATATAGAAATAGGGAGCCATTCACTTTCTGTATTTTGACAAAGTATTTCAACTTCATGAGACGGATTTTCATTAATCTAGGTCGTACCCAATGTATCGATCATCATACTCATGTCTCCTTCAACATTAACTGCATTGTTGGTACACCTCTCCCCTCCTGCGGTTACTTGGCTTTTGGTGCACATGAAACAACACAACAAAGCCAAATGGCTTCTACTGCAGTTGCTGCATTGCTTCTATTAGGTGGTGAATCGGGTTGAGAGTGAAAGTTGCCAAAATCTAGCAGAATGCTCTCGAAACTAATTCACTTGAGTGAGAGAGAGAGAGTAGAATTCCATGTGTAGGCATGAAATAAGGAGATCTCCAAAGGAAGGCCAAAAGCGAAGGCAGCTCTCTAGGTTCCTACTGATGCTTGGGTGCGAAAGCATGCGGAGCAACAGCAAACACAGTTAAATATCCTGATAGTTCATATTGTAAACAATGAGTGTTCGCCCTCGGCGTACAAGGGTTGGGTCCAATTAACACGTGAAACAATCCGTTTGAGGAGTATGGTCGCAAGACCAAAATTCATAGGAAATGATGGGCAACATGTGGTTTAATTCAATAGAATACACAAACCTTACCCAGCATTTTTTTTCTTTGAACTGAACCTTACCCACCATTGTGATATACAAACAACAAAATCTGTCCTTAACGGGGTGGTACTGACTTTCAAAAAGGTTTCCAGGATTTTGACGTTTTTGTTTTGGAAAAAAATTGAAGGTGCAGTAGAAAGGAGTTGGTTTCGACAGCTTGGGGGCTGGCTTGCAAGGCCAATCACCTTACGGGCCATGGTCCAGCTTAGTCCAATTCATTACAGCCTATCAGCCCAATATATAGGCCCAGCCCATCTTGTGAATGGTAACTTGCCATCCTTCCTTTGGACAGGATGGACTGCCCCACCCAACTGACATTGACTGACGGCTCGCGTGAGCCTGGCCCGGACCCAATGCCAACCCTTACTAGCTGCTTTTCTAAACCAATGAGAATTAACAAGTACAATTATCAAATACTTTTTAGCTAGGTGTTAATTGAACCTTGAACTCAAATGTTATAAAATTATCTTTTAAACGAATTTTAATTTTTTTTAAACTCGACGCGTTTAGAACTTAAGTCGAACTTGAGCGCGAATAACTCAACTATTTTACATATAAATAAAAGGAGATTTGCGAGCATGAACCGAGCCTTCAAAACAAGTCTAAAAATTTGTTTAAACTTAACTCATTTAGAACACGAATCAAACTCAAGCTGAATTTTATTTAAATCGAGCTCGAATAACTTGTCTCGATTAACCCCTCTACCCTTAGGGATGGTGCCATTGGTCAAACCTGCTTTCTTTCAAACAAAGATCACAGGTTTGATACTTCCTACATCCCCTAAGATACAACTACCCTTGGTCATCAGGACACATATCCTTAAACTAGTTCGAGTTACAACAATAGACTTAGAAGGGAGTAGTCGACACAAGGCTAGACAACCAGTAACCAAAAAATAAGAAAAGAGTACAATGATCAAATTAAAATAACTCAAGGAGTTTGCCATATGATGCAAATTGCCAAAGAACAGGTGAAAGACAAAAGTAAGCTTCAGAATGAGCAAGAGAAATCAATAAAACAGCTTTTACTTAACATATCTCTTTTAGGTTTATAACAAACAACATAGCTATGGAGTCGACAAAACCACAAACGTAGAAGACGGAGGTAAATGGTAAAAAAGAGGGAAAAAAGAATGAAAAGAAAGGAAGAAAAATAGAACTGTAACCGTGCCAACACAACTCAAACTGTATTGACAAAGCTTTAACTGGATGGAACTCAGTTGGGGATGTGCAACTCCATGATCTCTTCTTTATTATGTAGTTTTTGGAGTGACTTCCCGACTCGAACTAGTTTATATATATCAGCTGGCAGCTTTTCTGGTGAAAACAATACTCAAAACAACAGATTCTTCCTCCAAGTGCATGATAAAGTATATGACTCCAAACTTTACAATAGGAGAGTGACTGAGCGAGACGCGGCAGCTAATAATGCAACCTATCGTCGTTGTTAAAATGCAGGCCCTCAATACCCCTGAGAGCAGATTCAAAATTCTTCATAGTGGAGGTGTTTCTACCCGAAGAAGTGCGCCTGTGATCTGAGGGCACAACTGGTGAACTTCTTCGTGTAGTACTAGAAATTTTACGAAGCGCTCCTGGGCTTGCATCTGTGGTGTGGGCATGAGAGGGGTCAGATTCGCTAACAACATTCACTGGGTCACGACTGCTAGAGACAGCAGGCCGCCTTGAAGTTCCACTAGAACGGAAAAAATTTGAACTAGATAACTGCACAAAAACCAAGCAAGTGGAAACTTAAGTTGCAAAAAACAGCAAAATCATAATTCAAGGAAAAACTACATCAATGTATCTCCAAGTGCTTAGTAATCAATTTGACAGAGTTTATATTTCAGTTTTGTTTCAGGAGGTTCTTGCCACAGCAGTTCAGGTGAGACCCACATATGCAAACCCAAGGAAGTAGCATGAAAAGTGCTTGTATGGAGAACACCCATTTGAAAGAATTATCTGATCCCCTTGGCAAAACAAGTGCATGAGAGGAGGAATGTGATTAAAAAAGGCCATTCAGTTTGAGGGGGGGAAGTGATTGCCTCTACTGATGCAATCGAGGAAAAACTGGCTGAAACCAACAAGAACCCTAGCTTTTGGTTGCTAATCCAGGATAAATGCAAGAGGATAATAACTTGTAAATAAGAGGTACAACACATGCCTTCACTAATTTGATAACATTCTCAGAAAACCAACAGATACAATAACTCTCCACCAGCCACTAAACAAATTCCATCAACTAACACTAGAAAACATGTATATACACACAGAAGAGGGATCAAGACTCAAAATTTGGCAGATAAGGTTGCTCCAATGGTTGGTTTCAGAAAAGATTAGGCCCATGAAAAACTAAAAAAAAAGGTGCAAGTCTAAAAAGTGCAACCCATTTGCCATGTCATTTACATGCATCAAAGCAAAAAATTCTCAGAGATAGTTATTAAAAAAATAACACAGTTTATTCCCCAGTTTACTGATAATAAAATTTTTAAAAAATACCTCTTTACTCATGGACGCATCAATTGCAATGGGAGCTTTTTGTTTACCTAAGCTTCCAGAATTGAACGGTAGGGCAGTGTTTCTATTACGAGAGGGATTTGCTGAAGACCAACCAGAAGGCCTACCTTCTTCACCACCTGTAGCATATAGTTAAAGGACATCAAGCTCCGAAATATAAATTCACCCCATACTATCAGACCAATATGTGTACAGAGCATGTGAGTAAGAACCAGATAGAAATAGTATTTAATTAAGGTCTCAGTGCAAGAACAAATACATAAACTGTGCAATAGTTGGAATAGAGGAAAATATCTAAGACTCACCTGATTGTCTATGGACGTTGGCAACTGCAGCAGGCATACCAGAACTTGGTCCAGCACTAGCGCCCTGTCCGAAAAATTATCATATTATTTGATCATTATGTGGCCAAAAGAACGAAAAGCCTCTTCGACCATTCACTTACAACAGCACGAGACGGAGGATTGGCAAGCTGCGATTGTTGGAATTTCAAGATAGTCCAGTCGAACACATAGTCGAACTGAAAGCCTAAATAAAGGAAGAAACCACATCATCTGATGGGTAACATGTCATATTTGTTAAGTAGATAACTTCGAAATTAGAACAACAAAATCGAACCTTCGCGAATAAAGAGGTCACGGAAAATTCTCTTCAGATAAGCATAATCTGGTTTATCATCAAACCGAAGTGAACGGCAGTAATGGAAGTATGATGCAAATTCTGTAGGATAGCCCCGACATAAACCCTAACGAAGAAGCAGTGGGCTTTCCAGTCAGTTTCATTGTGCTAAATTGGCATCACTGGCATCAGAACTTGAGTAAAACACAGATTACCTCAATAGAGGTTGAAACTTTCTTTTCGCTGATCTTTTCATACTTCTGTTTCTTGGTTCCTGCTTTCAATCCTTGCCAAGGGAGACTATAAATACACAATAATATTTAGACCCGCAATAGAATTACAATTGAAATTCAAAAAGATGGGAAAAAATAATTACCTTCCTCTCAAGAAATACATAAGAACATATCCAAGTGATTCTAAATCATCCCTCCGGCTTTGTTCTGTGGGACAGGAGCGACGCATGAGGAAACAAGACCAGCCTCAATATTAATGCTTAATCAGAGATACACAAAAATGGAATGCAGCTTAAATAAGTAGTAAGCATACCAATGCCAAGGTGAGTATTCATGCTTGCATATCTTGCTGTTCCCGTCAAATTTTTATTTTCCCTGCATTAAACATGACAGATACAATTGAACTAAAGAAATATAAACCATATTAGAAGTCCCAACAATGTAGAAATAAAAGATAGCAAACTACCTAAGAACCTGAACAGAAACATGACATCCAAGCACAACAAAAGCAACCAATTTTAATGCTGAAGCGGACTAAATCATTACTCCGAACTCACAGAAAGTCTAATGTCACCTTGAAATAATATTGCATACAACATAAAAAATATCGGGAATTACTTCCAGGCCTCAAGTGTACAGTTTTATCAATTGTTACTATGGGTTCAGTTTGAGGGGAACATCTTCTGCATACAAACTCAGAAACCTATTATCCATTGGAGCAGAAAACAAAGACTGCATACAGAAGAAAATGTTCAACACACAAGTAACTCATTGGATAATTTTAGGGATCACAAAGTTATCAAACGATCAACCAGATGCAATGTAAAGTGGGAAGAAACAAAGCTCTGCATATAAAATAATTTCTCATACCAGATAGGAATTCCCATCATAACAAAATTATGCCGGTATCACATGCTTGAAGTCCCCCCCCCCTCCTTTTAAAAAAAATAAAAATAAAAAAAAAAAGTAAAGGAATCAAGTTTGTAGGTACTCCTATAAAAGGTACAACAATACAGATTCAAACCGACTGTAAATCAAATCAGAAACATGAGATAATATGCCACAATAAGATCTATGGTCATGCCCTGCTTCACTAGTATGCGGTTTTTGTGCCACGACACTAGTTATAACCCTTCATCTTTATCCAACCAGTGACTGCACAAACTACAACTTTGTGTGCTGGAAATCACTTTTTTGCTTTTCTATACACTTTTAGGCTAATACATATTGCTTCAATGTATAACAACCCCTAAAAATGCTGAATAAAAAAAAACATGCACAGGAACACAAATGTTCCTCCACATCTTTTCAGAGACTCTTGCAGATGCCTAAACTAAACAGAAAGCACTATAGGTGCAAGGTAAAATCCATTAGAGTAAGGTAGTCCACGGTATGTGTGTTCTATAATATGTTGACGTTTTTAACAAGTAACAAATAGGTTCACACAATAAAAGAGAAAAATCACCCATAAAACAAGTTTAACAGAGCTCACCTATACGGAATGTGTTGATGGGTTGAGGAGTCCCTATATTTCTTAGCCAGTCCAAAGTCAATGACATAGACCTACACTCAATTGAATGGCAAATAATTAACCAACACAGGTCATAGAAGCCAACAAGTAACCCTGGAAAGGAACCCAAGTTCCGATTAAAACCTGATTTGCGCGCCTCCCTAAACCCATAAGGAAGTTGTCTGGCTTAATATCTCGGTGCAGGAATGACTTGGAATGAAAAAATTCAACCCGATTGATCTGACAAGATATATTTGCAGAAATCAATGAAATATGAACCCTTATTTCACATTTATTGCTGTAGTATATGCATGAAACAGATAAAAACCTACCATCTGATCTGCAAGCATAAGAACAGTCTTCAAAGACAGCTTCCTACTACAGAAATTAAACAAATCTTCAAGACTAGGCCCCAGTAAATCCATCACGAGAACATTATAGTCTCCTTCAACCCCAAACCATCTCATATTTGGAATTCCAGCTACCAAAATTGGGAAAAAATTCCAACTAATAAGGATATCAACAACCAAAAAGTGCAGTTGCAAAACATAATCACAGGCAACAGGAACAATAAAGGATCATTACTTCCGCCTTGTAGTATTTTATATAACTTTGACTCATAAAGCAATTGGGGATGCTTTGTCTTGACATTTTCCTGAATATAACAAACAGCGAAGGAAATCGATGAATTAGAGATGTTCACTGTTCCCAACATTGTTCAAACATAAGTAGTATCAAGCAATTCAAGCTGATAACATAATCCCATAAATGATAAATCAAACCAACATTAAACCCAGAGAACCCCATACCAAAGAGAGTGTATAACATGATATCCAGAGCAATTAATGAACTTTAGCCTATACAGTCAACATTCAGGATAAAACATACCAATATTTTCATGCATGGTACAAAAATAGTCATAAGTGATACTGCCTCAGAGGCAACACTCAACCACAGGAGATTGAAAAAGTGTGGAGATATATCTAACTGATGAGATTATATTTTGACTTGACTCCACCCAATGATGCTTCAATCTCAACTATTGATCATGATTTAGATTGATGGAACTTAAAAATGAACAATGAATACAAGCCACTGAGCTGTCAATACACAGTAATTATGTTCTGCACTACACAAAAGTCACTAAGTTTTCCCAGATTGACAGAGCTGTTAACCTAGGGAGGCAGATACCACCTCAGTAACTGCAAGCCCATATGATTGATGCAACCCATAATAGAAATAAACAATCTATCCATACTTGAGATGCAAACTACAAGATCTAACCAAGGGATATCATTTAAAGAACACCAATTTGAAATGAACTCCAACGATGACAAATTGAAGCATTACCTGAACTGGACCACACAAAAGATGAAAAAAATAATGATAATTTTACACCCATCATCAAGAACTCAAAGACGAATAAAATTTCCCTAAAAGCTCAGCTGAGGTAACAATGCAGTAGAATCCATCCTTGTTGAGAAACCTAATGCGCAGCTAAACAATGCTAAGTTGTGCATACACGCAACCATTTCGAGGGAATTTCCCCTATCCACTCAAGACACTATACGAGCTTCATGCCACAAGTAGTAGTAGTAAAGAGTCAAACTTCACCCAAACTTTCATTAAACATTGAAAAAAAAACACAGCCCAGTTGAAGATAACATAATATCAGCTCAAAAACATATCCTCCAAATTTCCAACCAAAGGATTGAGAAATAAGCAGACTGACTATCAACAATCCTGATGAGATTTTATTTTTTTTGCATACATACGGATTTCAAAAAAAATTGCCACTTCTTTTCGTGACTGACTCCATCTCAAGCACAAGTACACTCAATCCACACCAACCATAACATAGAATCCCATGCAATTACAGATGAACAAAAGGAATAACAATGGCAACAGGATCAGACTGAATCATTAACCAACATATGACTCCAACCGTCACCGAAGAAAAATGTTTCCCTCTACAAAAGAGACAAAAGAACCAACTTCAGACTGTCATGTGAAACCTACGAAATATGTCAAAAAAAGAAAAAGAAAGCATTTTCCATCTCCAGAGTAAAGAAATTCATAAAACATATAAGCACTCCCAAATATAAATGAAGCTCGAACCTTTATACAAAAAAAAAAGCATTAGCACGCGGATAAAATAAACAATTAGCAAAAGAAAAGCAGAGAAACTCTGAAATTTACAACTACTTATGGAAGGTAATATATTACTCACTAGCTTAATAGCAACTTCTTCATTTGTCTGAATGTTAGTCCCTGTACAAAAAGAAAGAAAAAAAAAAGATCGTAAAAAGAAATAAAATTATCAACAATCAAACTACAACGAAACAAACAAATCAAACTGGCACCTTTTAAATAGATTAACATACCGAGATAGATCTCTCCAAAAGAGCCACTGCCGATCTTCCGGCCGAGCCGGAATTTATTACCGACACGAGGCTCCATAAAAAAAAATGCTCCAAATTCAACGATCAAAACGAACCCCTAGCTAGAAATTCAATTAAAAAGCCCAAAATTAAAAAAATCTAAAACAAAATAAAGCGGTACGAGTTCCAAAGCGTGACGAACAAGGCCTACCGGACGATGACAGATCGATGGCAAAAGCAAAGTGAGGTCCCACAGACCAGCATGAGTCGTAGAAAACGATTTGGTGAGTGGATCAAGTAGGATATGGAAAGGAATAGAGAAAGGGTTAAGGGAGATCAAGGAAACCTTTGAGATTTTTCCTCTCTCTCTCTCTTTCTTAGTTAAAACAACGGAGGTAGAGAGAGAAACGAAGAAGAAGAAGGAGGAGAAGGAGAGAGAGTAGAGGAGGCATCATGATGATATCCTCGCGCCTTGCCTTCGATCCAATCGAAGCGGACTTTTTAACGCATATGTTCTTTAATTATATGTTCTTTGACGTTTACAGTAATACGACGTTGTTTTGAATCTTCAACGTTAAAAGTCTCTCAACGACGTCGTATCGCTTTTGCTTGTTTTTCACTCCATTGAACAGGTACAAACAATCACAGAGTTAAGGTCATAATCGAATTTATTTTTATTCCAATTCTTTTCAATACTTTTTTTAATTAATTTTTAATGCTAGATTATTGATTACAAACTTATGATGGATCATTAGTAAAAGAATAAAAGTTAATCTTTTTATCAATATTCAATATGCGTTTCAATATTAAGAAATTTTGAAAAATATTTATCGAAAAAATACTTTTATGAATACGATGTTATATATAAGCCAAGTTCGGTAGCTTGTATTGCTTTGGATATGTATAAACAAAGAGAAAGCTTAAATTTCAAGTGGGTGTTAACAAACTATTACGAGATTTCAGGAACCAAGAAATTTTAAAAAAAATCCTAAATTTTATATTTTTTGTATTTATTAATTTTGTTTTCGTAAAATGATGTTTAACTTAGAAGTAAATGGAAATGTTTGAAGAAAAAATATTGAGTGTAATTATGACACTATGTTATTATTGTCATATAATATTACTATTCAATAAAAATATAATAAATAAACAAGTGAATCCCATATATTTAAGTAACCATTATGTCGTGTCATTTTAAATGAGGTTTACCTTACTTATTTGTAAGTTTATTATTGAATGGTTTTATTATGTGTCAATAATGACGTAATGTCATTGTTACAACCAATATTTACTAATTTTTTTTTTTGGNGTCGTGTCATTTTAAATGAGGTTTACCTTACTTATTTGTAAGTTTATTATTGAATGATTTTATTATGTGTCAATAAAGACGTAATGTCATTGTTACAACCAATATTTACTAATTTTTTTTTTTGGAGAGAGGGGGGTTCTTAGAAGATGAATTGTTACAACCAATATATTTATTTATTTTTTTTTTCCGNTATTCAATAAAAATATAATAAATAAACAAGTGAATCCCATATATTTAAGTAACCATTATGTCGTGTCATTTTAAATGAGGTTTACCTTACTTATTTGTAAGTTTATTATTGAATGGTTTTATTATGTGTCAATAATGACGTAATGTCATTGTTACAACCAATATTTACTAATTTTTTTTTTTGGAGGGAGGGGGGTTCTTAGAAGATTAACAACAAAGTCGGTTTGACACACTCTTCTAGAAGTGGTGCTTGTATTTATAGTATAAAACATGACATACCTACAATAATTCTATCCGACGATTTCATATAGACTCATTTAACAGTTACCAACATCTATCTTAAAATCATTCACATTACATCGTACCTTTAAGCACAGATTACCTTTGTATAATGACAATAACTGCACCTCATACTATGATCATCTTCAATGAATTGGGAAATGCTTTGTTTCCAGTTTTCCACATCGCAGTTTATGGGTAAAGGTTGTGAGATTTATGGGCACAAGAAAGATGTATAATACAAGACCTCGAGCGGGACAAGACTTTGTCGAGTAAAATTAGATGTACATTTAAGAGAGGAAAGCAAATAGATATCAACAATTTTCACAAGCTGTAACAAAATCCTATAAATATTGTACATACAACAGCCTCAGTGCTCTGATGCAACCCTTGGCTTCAAAGAACCCCCACTATACTGGACAAAAATGACAAGAATGGATTACAAAAGCACCACATAATAAGATTGCAAATGGCCAAAAACCCTATATTACAGAAGAAGCAGGTGTAAACAAAAAAATATATATGTGTGATAACTATATTTGGGGTATTACACTATGTGGACTCATCGTTGAATGTTTCTTCTGCAGCCTCGCTCTCAACTGCCTGATCTTTGCATCTACTCTTGCTGTGAACCCAATCTTGGTCTCCTGTCTTGCTTTGGACCGCTCTCTTCTCCACATATGTCGATCCTCAATGTCCTTTCTGTAGTATTTGATTTCTTGAATGATATGATGATCCATTGGTTTGAAAGATCTTTGGAAAGATAGATGAGCAAGGTAAGGGAGATTACAGACCACTGTTACTAAGAGGGTGGCTGACCAATAAATTGGGGCAGGAGCTAGAGCTTCCACGAGGATTTTAAAGGCATTACCTGAATATTTTGGTGACAACATGCCATAAAGGAAAAGAAATAGATACCAAGAAGCAATGCTGCCCCAGACAAAGATGTGTTGTATGAATGTGAAATGACTCATTGTGAGAGCAATTTGGCAGTTCACAGCCCAGATGATGCAAGTGAACATGGCGGTACCCACAGCAGTCATGTCAGCAGTTTGGCCTCCAGCACGGAAGGCTTGGTCATAAAAGATGATAATGCCAAACGAAAAAATTATGATAGAGGAATAGAGACCGTTTCCCATCCACCCACAAATCCTGTACCAGTCAAAGAACAAGTTTCTGGGTCCTTGCTGATACAATGCTGGAAACTGCAGAATGCATGGATTTTATGTGAGTGTATGAGCATTGATCTATAAGTGAAAATAGATGAAAGGTGCACACAAAGATGTTATTAAAAGACTAACCTGTAGGCAAATCTCAGAAGAAACGTCTTGTTCAAAGACGCCAAGTGAAATGACAGGCAGTGAGGTAAGAACAACATTGAACAGCAACATGTACCAATCATCATAAACCGATTGCCCAGAAAAACCAGTAAATGCCTCAAAGTAGAAGATTGTGAGGCCAAAAGCTATATTCTTGTAGAAGAAATAACAAATCTGGATGCAGAGCATTGCAGCACAAATGAGCCAAACAAATCAATATTCTCTCTTTTGATATGTAGAGGTGTAAAAAACATCAGGACAAATTATGGATTACCTCCCTTTGATTTGGTTCATTTCCTATATTTTAGAGATGTCTAGACATAACCCATTTGGACCAAAATGAAAACATTATGATTTCAGTTCAAATTGACAATCCATAGATGCAAGCGCCTAAAAATGACTTTTAAATTGTTTCCATTCCAAAATAACATCTTTCAGGACAAAAACACTCCTGTATCTAATCTCCCCTAGCCTACCAGCAGCCCCCTCCCTTCATCCTCTGCCCATGAAGCTCTATAGTTTAAGATCATAGTCTCAGCCATCGATTTGAAGGGCACTAAGATGTATCGTTGTAATGTCAAATAACGGTGTCGGGCGATATGCACGAAATGCTAGATAGAAGTTGGAAATGAGAGATCCAAGCCATACCACATTGTCGCGGAGTGGTATCGTGGTGTAGCGGAATGATGACTTGGCGGAGCCATCTGAGATGTCTTATCAAGTGAGACTCCCTGTATGGATCAAAGAACAAAAAGTGCCTAGTTGGATACGATTCGACTAGGTAGTATCTGTATTGACCGNAGATAGAAGTTGGAAATGAGAGATCCAAGCCATACCACATTGTCGCGGAGTGGTATTGTGGTGTAGCGGAATGATGACTTGGCGGAGCCATCTGAGACGTCTTATCAAGTGAGACTCCCTGTATGGATCAAAGAACAAAAAGTGCCTAGTTGGATACGACTCGACTAGGTAGTATCTGTATTGACCGATACGTTGAATGATGCGCAACTCCTTCCCCCTATTCACCATTGTTAGTTACTTATCCAAATCTAAAACATTGGGCAGCAGATTGTTTTCTTTCATTGATGAAAAATCAAATGGACGAAAAGAAGAACAACAATAAGGTAATGCAGTTTCAATTAGTTTCCTTAACCTTTTCACTTCCCTATGATTTCAAGTAACAAATGTAAAAACCTTTCACGGAGTAGCCGACTTTGAGGTGACGCTAGCACTACTACTCTAGTAGCTTGCACTCAATGATGTTGGAGAAAAAATATAAGTGCCTAGTGTGTAATGAAGGAAATGATGAAGTCCGGACTCTGGAGCTTTTGGAATCGTAAAGGGTTTGAAGAAGAGTATATATAAAACATAGAAGAGACAGAAACATGTCGCGAAGACCTAAGGCATGACTAAGCAGTAGTAATGTTGCCATGATGATAACAAATAGCTTGCACTCAATGCTGCAATTTTTTATACCTTTCCGATCCTCCAAGACACCTATTTGCATAATTATAAAAAAATCCTTGGTTCATAAGAACCAGGAATAAATACGGAGCAAGTATATATATACGGTCTCAGTCTGTGTGCGTTAGTGTAAAAGAGAAGTAGGAGGAGATTACCTGATTGTAGGTATAAGTTTGTTTAATTAAGGAATAAAGGTTGACTTATGCCAAGAAATGAATAAGGGATAATTGGATGATGCAAGAATAAATGCAACATTTTTACACATTCGGTTAATTTTGGATCGAATACTAATGGTTTCAGTTTAGTCCAGAATGACATGGGGTAATGCTTAGGTTCCCAAAATATAAGAAGGTACCGAGTTATGGAGCAAACCATAAGGAGGTGATTCATAATTTGCCCAAAATCTTAACACAATATGCCAATGGATACTATATAATTCTTACCATCTGAGCAATTCTTTTATAGCACCAATGTCCGTGGACAACAAGAAGTCTCTCCAGAAATCGGAACTGTGCAATGGCAAAGTCACTAGCCATCACAGCCTGCAAAAAATGGGAATTTTGTAAGGCTGATACCAAGTCCAGCAGCACCACATGCTAATGAAAAGGAAATACCCCTAAAAACTTTCAATCTTGAAGTTCAACATTATTTAATAATAACACTTGGGAAACCTTCTTAAGACGGAAAAAAAAGATACACTATAAATTAATTACTTATCAAAAAAGAAATACATTACACAGTGTAAATTAATATAGTGTTATTGGAAGTATTAAAATCCTCATGAAAATATATATGAAATATGTAAATGCTAATTATGATACTTCAATAGACTCAGATCTTAACTATATTTAACTTCTAGGTATTCATTGAATTGGATCATAGGCAAAATTTTCAGATCAACTTTGTATTTGAACTAACAGATCTAAATAAGCATCATAATTGAAACTAAGATTTCAAGCTGATCAAATTCAGGTCAGAAACCTATTTTAAACAGACCCACTGACAGCCGCATGTCTGAAACCTATCTGGAAAATGTCCTCTGTTCTCAGTCTTCCTAGATTGGATAGGCCAACACTGAAAATCCCACACTTCAAACAATGCCAGGAAATAACTTACCTCCCATTGTACACAAGCCCATCAAGTTATTTGATCTGCCAGGTTTCTTCTAGAATATAGCACTTCGAATAGACTCGGAGTCATGTATGTTGAGTGAAATTATAAAAACTTTTATTAAAAAACTAATTTACTCTTAAAAAATGCAAATAAACAACTCCTAATCTCACTAAATCATTGTGTTAGGAAAGTTCATGCGATCCTTAGACCAGGGACTCGAACCCTTGTACTTGACCGATAACCTCCAAGTCATGTGTGACATTTTTGAGGATATTGGAATTGTATTCCATTGTTAGGGAAGCTCATATGTACTTTCAATTCTTGAAACACGGACTGGGTCATTTAGTACTTATCTTAAGATTCTATATGCACATTTTTGTAACATAAAGGCATTCCAAAAGTAAAAGGATGATAGAATTTTGAACAATTATATGAACACCTTCACCGTTTCATAATGAAAAAAGAGGAGACTGTCAGATATGTTACCAACCTGCATTCCTTCTGCCCCGCTGATGCCAACACCAATGTCTGCTTCTTGAATCATACCAACATCATTTGCACCATCACCGATAGCTAAGGTGGTCTTCCCAGTTCCCTCTTTAACCAATCTGGTAACCTAGAGGCCAAATATAATTTACAAAGTAGAATAAATGAAAATAGACGCAAGGAAGAGAAATATAAGTACCTTACACATAGAATTATCACTAGGTTAAGAAATTGAACAACAGAAAATGAAGTCTTTGGACAATGCGCTAACTAGTGTATACCAGGGGATGGAGAATGAAAAAATGAAACTTACCATGGCTTTTTGCTTAGGAGAGACACGACAACATATGACAGATGCACAATCAACTGCTAATTTCAAGAATTGATGCTTCATGTCATCCTCTAAAGCATAAGTTAGAGTCTTCCCATCTATAATTACGGCAAATGCAGCATGAGGATCCTTCTCGAGCTTGATCATTTGAGAGGCATTGGTGATTTGCATCAAAACGTTCTCCTTCACAGCCTGATCAGTAACAAATAGCAACGAAGCCTAACATCAACTGAAATAAATTTCCTGAAAAACATTTACATACTCTTTCTCAGAATAACTACCTCGTTGGAATCTTGGCCTAACATGTCTGCATTCATTGTTGTTATACAGATCTGCTTCATGCCCTGGCGGAGCAGACTACATGCATATCTGCATCAAATAAACAAGAATTTTATTTCTGCTATTGGAGCTTCCTTAAATACAAAGTAACTATCACTCAGTCAGAATCATCCTTCAAGTTGGTGAGAGGCAGACCCTATGTTAATTGCAGTTTCCATCTTATCACCTGTCAGAACCCAGAGCTTGAGGCCAGCTTGTGCCAGTTTATCTATGCACTGAGGCACCTACAGAGGAAAATTATAGTAGCTTAGCAGAAAAGGTCCAAAAACATGATTTGTAAATTACTATTCCACAGCAATGCAAGCACGTACCCCCTTTTGCAGTTTGTCCTCCACAGCAGTTGCACCCACAAGAATCAAATCCTTTTCCATCAGATCAGATACTCGTTCGAGCATTGCTTCCCGATCAGCACCAATGGAAGTTTTTGCTTTATGGAACTCTTCATTCCAAGCAGAATACTCGGCCTCTTCAAGCTTCCTGTAAGCAAGTGCCAGAGTCCGCAACCCAACTTCCCCATACTCATTCAGATGCTTTGTGGTAGCTTCCTCAAACATTCTTCCACTTTTAGATAACCGGTCAAAAATGATGCTGTATAATGCAAGCAAATGAACGATTCATCAGATTCCAAAAGAGCTTAAGACAGTCCAGAAAAAAGGGATCAACCATATGGGGCAACAGAAATTCACAAAGATTAAATGCTTCCCCAATTTCCCCAGCCTGCCTGATTACTACAAGAACCAAATTTCAAGAAAGATCAAGAGATAAAAGTTCACCCTCCCCCTTGACCTCGTCCAGAAGATAACTAAAGACCATGCAAGTTATAATATCGGCATCATTGTACATTTGATTATACATGTTCCGTTGATTTATATCATCCTACAGCTCAGCAGGCCTCCAAAACAAACAAAAGATTAGAGAAAAAAAATGTAGACCCGACCTGTCAGCTCCTTTGCACAGGAGAAGAATCTGGCCACACTCATCCTGCATGATAACAGACATTCGCTTCCTTTTGCTAGTGAAATCCAACAGATTAAGAATTTTGAACTCCCTGAAAATTTCCAAAAACATGTAAGATACCAAGACACCTGCATTCAATCCAGATTAATGAAAACCACAAAAATGAAGCAAACTGCTTATTTATGGCCAGACCTTTCAATTGACTCTTGAAAAGAAGGACCCCTCTCACGAACAAATATGCTTGATTGAGTTCTTTTACAAAACTCAAAGCCAAATTCTCTTGCTGCAACAAGAAAAGCTCCTTCATCTGGTGACTCTGCTTCATAGTTAAAGCTACCTGTCTCCTCATTGACCTCCGGAATTGCAGTGTGGCAAAGTGCAAGTATCCGGAAAAAAAGCAACAAGATGTCGGCATTGGGCTCTTTTGACCAATTTCCATTCATGAGGCGGCTATCCTCAAAGCTAAAACCCTTTATCACAGGTCTATGGTCATTTTCATCTCTAGAAGTAACTACAGTCTCCAGTTCAATTTCTGAAACCCCCAATCCATGTCCACCGTTTTCTTGTAAAACATGTCCACCATTATTAGGGTTGGGGTTGTTTGGCGTCTGGGGTTCCTGCCCATCAAGGTCCATAGCCATCTGCTTTGCAGCAGCAAGTTCTACATCACTAGCACGCTGGCCGTATGCAGCACCAGCAATGGAGCACTTGAGGAAGTCCATTTGGTTACATGTCAAAGTGCCAGTTTTATCCGAGAGGATCGTGTTAATCTGCCCTAATTCCTCGTTTAAATTAGAGGTCCGAGCTTGAGCAGGAGTTCCACTCTCTTCATCATACATGTGTATATCCTGGTTAATGAACAATGCTTGAAGGAATTTCACAGCCTCAATTGAAACATAAAGCGAGATGGGTATTAAATACCCATAAAGGATAAGAGCGGTGACCAAATGATAAGTTGCTGACAAGGTGGGCTTGTATGGGTTGTAGAGATTTTGGTCATCCGGAGCTTGCAGGTACCACCAATCTGGCATCTGGTACTTTGTCTTTGCAGCAAACCCTATTGAGCTGATCAACGAAATCAACACAAGGAGGGTGAAAAGGATGTAAATGATTTTATCCATCTGTTTCTCAATCCTGCTCCTTTTCGAAGGAGACTTTGTAGCATTTTGCATCACTTTGCTATCTTCACCTGTGAATATAACCACTCCATACACAAAACCCGTATTCCTAAGCTTTGAATCCCTAAGAAGAATCTGACCAGGATCAAGAGGATAAACCTGACGATCATATTCAAGATTACCCACAAATGTGTAGAGATTAGGGTTAGGGTCTTCGCATCTGATCGTTCCAGTGAAATCCTTGAAAGCAACATCATCCTCCAAGGGCAAGGTTACCTCCAAAGCTCTTTTAACCTTCAAATTTGTTTCTCCATCTAAGTTCATAGTCTCCACATAACATATCCCATCCTCGTAACTAGATGACAAAAGAAGCAAATCTGCAGGAAAGAATCGATCCTTCTCCACTTTCACCACGTCCCCAACTCGAATTTTCATCCAGGGCTTATAACCAAACAGACCATCCTTCTTATGGACACTAGTTTTCCGCAGATTCACCTTCATATCCTGCACAAATCTACGCCAATCTTCCAAAGCTTCCTTTGCCATACTGATCCCAAGAACAAGGGCTAGAGGAGCAACCATACTGATAGCTGAGAAGGGTGCAATGGGGAAGAATGAAAGAACAGCAGCTAGCAGGAAGTATACATTGGCAACACGACGGAATTGTTCAAAGATGGCCTTGGGAAGGAACGTGATGACATTGTACTTTGTGGTTGATATGTAATTGGAGCTGTACTTGAGAGGTTTCTTTTGGTGGACATGAGGCTGGTTGCAGTATACCATTCGCGAATACCCTGGACCTTGGAATTGATGTGGCTCCTCTGCATCGGCGGTTTGTGGCCGGTAACATCCGAATGTGTATAGACTGCTTCGCCGGAGCTTTGCCCTGATCCTTCCCTTTGCCATCTTATTCTTCTCTGGAAAACCCCGACACTTTGCCTTCTTTTTAACAACGAATTCACCGGACTTTGTCACTGGATGCGTAAATTAAACAAGTTGAATCGATACATAACCTGAGAATTCATCGTACCCAAGATGCATAACATCAGAATTCATCGTACCCAATAACTTAAAAAGTGGAGCGTTGACATTAACATTAACATTAACATTTACAAATTAAAAAATAAAATTTGCATTCAAAAGCTTCTATGCACATATTAACGAATGGGCTTAATTTGATATTTCAAGGATTTTAATAAATATTGATGTAATTCTACCAATAAAAACTACCAAGATCACTTAAATTCAATACGACTATTCTTATTCAACATTCACACCTCTCAAAACAAGAGAAAGAAATCGATAAATTTTATTAATCTCAAGCTCTACCTGTAATAAATTTTCTTTGAAAAGGTGGACAATAAGCATATATAATATATGTATGTATTATACAAATTAGATTCCTTATAAAATTACAAAAAAAAAAAAACTTGTTCTATATATTCATTCATGTACGTGTAATGAGGAGAGATAATGAGTACCTGAAACCAGAGGTGTTGATCACCTTCATTGAATATTAAAGGAAACCCACATTGAAAAGCAATGACATTAAAGAAATGAACTTTGAAGTAACAGAGATTGCAATGGAGGGGAGAGAAAATCTAGAGAGAGAGAGAGAGAGAGAGAGGGGTTTATGCAAAAAAAAGCCTCGCTCCATTGGAAGTCCAAACCAATGCCAGTATTTTACGGTCCCTCTCTCCTTCTAAATTAATACCAACACATCAAAATACATATTCTCTTCTGTAAATTTGCAAATTTATTTATTTTTTAATTAAATTAAATTTAACTTTTCTGGTAATTAAAAAAAAAAAAGAAAGAGAATTTCTGGCATGACAAGAAAGAAAGAAACAGTCTTTTTTTAACCTGTGCTCAGCATTGCGTGTCTCATTTGCCACGTGGCATGTAACCGAAACACTTATGATGATTGGTCCCCCTGACAGATTGGGTCCCACATATAAGTCTCTCTGATCAGAAGCCATCGGTCAATTTGGTTTGCCGGCTATTCTATTGTATATTTGTATGGAGCTTTTGTTTTCAAAGTAGTGATCCACATTTTATGGCCGACAAACCAGGACCGTTGATGGGTCGCATTGATGTGGAGGGCGGGACTGGGGTCTGGGTTTACTCACTGTGGACCCCACGGTGAGGCCTCGCACTACATTATAACAACTCCTCCACCCAAAAAAAAAAACAAATAAAGAAAAATATAAAGTAACTTGCCAACAACTTTGGGAAATTAAAAGCTCCCTAGGAAGTTGCTTGGAAAATTATTTAATTAAGCATGGACTTCCTTGGATATAATTTTTTTTTCTAATTTTTTTTAATGATCGATCACCCTATTTGTTCACAGAGATTCCATTAACACAGGTATTATCAGTTATTATCGACAAAGATAGATATTCGATACTCTTTGAAAATATATTTTTGACAATCTTTCATATCAAATGCATATTCCTGGTGTTTGGTTGAGTTCTTATTGAAATCTTCTAGTATCCATCATTAAATTGTGGAAAATGGAACATGCCTCGACTAGACTAATAGTACCATTATATCTAAAGCTCCTTTTGGCCATGGGTTGCTTCAAAGAAGAGAAAAAAATTTCGCTCATGAGTTTGAATTTTGACATCTTTTTAGAGTCAGATTATAAGGTATTTATTTTTTATGAACATTTTAGTCTTGCGTTAATGACCTGTCTTTGATCGGACTGGAGAAAAAATTAATTGAAGTATGCGTGAATTGTCTTAGACACTGTTGACCGTTAAACCAAAAAAAAAAAAGAAAAGAGCTAAAGAGAAAAGTCATTAATCGACGTATTGTAAGGGACACAATTTGGAAGGGCTAACTTAAACCAAATTTAAGCCTAATTTGATTTTTTTTTTTTGGTGAAAATAACATGAAATGTTCAATTAGGAAGAACATCCAGACTCGAAAAAGAAAGTCAAATTCCAATATTCTAAATAAAAGTGTTCGAACAAAACAAGCGTGTCCAGTTAAGGGTCTAAGAATTTGATTCTAAAAACAACTCACTTAAAAAAAATTTGTTAGTTATTTATGAGATTTGTATGTCTCTATTTTCAAGATTTAGTAGTTAACTATTTGAAATAAAACGAAAATAACATGTAACTTTTAACGGAAAAGAAGATAGACTCAAAAAAAAGAAGTTGGATTCCAATCTTCTTAATGAAGACTTACGAATAGAGAAAGCGTGCTAAAATAGGAGTTTGTTGATTTTATTTAAAACGCAAGTCTACGATAAAGCGTGATAAAGTGAGATTCTGTAAATTTGATTCAAAAAGTAAGTTTACGATTGAAATATAAGGAGAAATCGCTTAGAAATCTTTCTTGAATCAGCTATATTCAACATTTATATGTCTCCATTTATTTTTGTTGTATTTAATTCTATACTTTAACAGGAAATGCAAAACTTATTGATCCATTTCTTTTCCATACGGACAAAACAAGGTATCCTCGAAACATTCAAAGTGGTCGTATGACCCTCCCACTCCTACCCAATTTGCAAGTTTTGTGCACGACAAAAGAAAGCTATCGGCTTTATCACTTTCTCTGTCCTTTTTTGTGGAAATTCATGCAAGATAGAAATTGACCCGCCATGATTGAAGGGTTTAAGTTTTCATAAAAAGAAGAGAGTAAAGGTAAATCACACTTTGTCCCCCCAAAAGTTTTTATAATTTTACCTTATCCCTTAAAATATTAGAAGGTGCCGCTCGCATAGTAGGTCAATATTTTTAAAATTGTAGCAATGTGTCCTTTTTAGTAATTTAATATTTTTAATCATTGAAGATATAAAAATAAAAGAACGGTGATGTTGAGGCATATTATGTAGACTTTAAAAACTTAATACATTATGATCTTAGAATTTGCAATGGGTGATAATACTGAATAAAATTTACTATCAATTTGAAGGTTCTAAGTTCTGTAAAGTGTTAGGTCCCTATATTAAGTTCTTAGTTGGGTACAATTAGCATTATTGAAAATAAAATATTTTTTAACATTTTTGAGAGAAAATTACCATTGGCCCAAAAATAATAATAAAAAAAAATAGTACACGGTTAAAACAAATTCCTAGTTTATCATTTACCCCTTTTTCTACCACATCCGCAAAAAGAAGAAAAGAAAAAAATTGGAAGTTCCTTAAATATCAACTGAGGGATGTTGAATTTAATTTTTTAGATTTGAATACTGTTCGTTGCTATTTTTTTGTATTTCTTTTGTCTAATAAAAATACGATCATGCCTATAATGTTCTTATTATATTTTATTTAGTTATTTTTATATTTAATGAATATTAAATAAATTAAAATCAAGATCTAAGAGTTCACCTTTTTTCTTGAGGTGGTATCTAATGGTTAAAATGAAAAAAATTTGGGGCAGAATCAATATAGTAAAGATTGTAGTAATTTAAATGTATGGTTGTTCGCAATGGGACACGTAAACGTGTGAGTGAGTGAGAGTGATCGGGCAGGCATTGGCCAGCTTTTCTTAGAAGTCGCCATCCTATGCTCTATCACAACAACACGATGACGTGCCCTTATTCCTTGACCTTATCCGGATTTTTCTCTCTCTGTTTTTTTTTTTTGTTTTTTGGAATAAAGCATATACAGAATCATACACATAAATTCCCGACTTAGGACAGCTGAATAAAGGCCAGTTGGACATCTTCTGGAACCCAACTAGACCACCACTTCCACAGGGGCGGCGACTCTAGACATTTTGGGGGTAACACGACAATAATAAATATATATATATAATAATAAAATAATTTTTTATTTTTGAAATACAAAAATATATTTTAAAGTTTTATATTCAAGGTTTTATTATGATAGTTGAGCTTGACGGTAAGAAAGAGAGAGGAGAATGATTAAAGCATTTTGATGGTAAAGTTGTATTTGATTTTTTTTGAGGTTAAGAATTGACTTTTAGTAATTTTAATTTCTTTTTAAAAAAATTAAATTTTAGAGCCTTTTAATATAACGAGTTGAATTAATAAGCTTAATATACACACGTTGATCTCTTATTTGGGCTTCAGTTTAAGTTTTTTTGTGGAACTTATTTCTTATGAATTTAAATATTTTATATGGACTATTACTACACACCTAAAAATTATGAGACCTTTTTTTAAGTGGGGTCTACAGCTTCAGCTTTATTAACTTAGTAATTGGGCCGACCTTGCACTTAGAGGCAATTACCGACTAAAAGGGAGTCTTTTTGAAATTCCGGATCGTTAAGTACTTAAGTTTGAGTAAAAATTAAATTAGATATATAATACTTTAACGAATAAATTTAAATTTAGACGAGACTAACCTCAATTATATACAAATAATGAAGTTACTACATAGCTCTGTGATGTGATAGTATATAAATAATGGAGGTAAAGTGGTGGAAGAAAAAGGAGCAATGTTTACTTTCCCCTTTGGAAAAGGGAAAAGCAGTCCCAATAACAGAAGGTTATGGTATTGGTTAGAAGAAGTCTTGTTCGCACACAAGTTTGTGTGAAAAACAAATAAAAGTTAGTATCCTATATACCAAAATCAAACTTAATCATATCGATGTAAATTGTGATTTGTGATTACAGTTTAGTGTGTTGGGAAGGTTTTAGGATTATTATTTTGAGATCGTAGCGGTTAGGTCAAAATCTTATGACACTAGGCCGTCTTACCCAATATTCAAATGGGTGGTTCACATGATCGAGCAATACAACGTTTTCTCGACTTGTACCAGAGCCTGGAACCCTTCTTAAGGGAAATGCCACCCGCTCTGTCCTCTGGATTCATTTCAAGGATTTAAATCTCTTCTAAGACATTTTTTCTCAATATTTTTTTCAGACACCATAGGATTCCTCCAATATATGATAACCTCAATTTCACTTGTTGATAGACCATCAATTAATACTGTAGGAAGCCATACAGATGGGGGTGCCTACTAACACATCCCTGACTCCATACTTCTCTGAGATACGCAGCTGCTTGTAGTTATGATTCCTAAAACCTCATGACTTTGGCATCTCAACATCACTAGTAAATTTGTAGTTATTGACAAGAGATATATCAGTTTCAGGTGGTGAGGTTAACTTCAAAGTTGAGTGAATTTCGGGAATGGTATCAGTAAACTCTTTAAGTTTGGAAAAGAGTCATAAATGTGTTCTGGGGAACAGGCAATGATGTATTCCAAGGGGCTGCAAGGAAGGATTGCTCATCTTCAATATACGGTGTATACCAATCTCTTTGGTAAGACACTATCTGGCAAAAATTACTTTCGACACAGAAAAGGAAGAGTCCTGATTAGCCAAATCTGGCTGTGTAAAATCTTACATGATTAAATCTAAGTGCTCCATTATTTATAGAAGATGCAAATAAGAAGCATATTGCCTAACCTCCATCAACAATTTCATCAAGGCATAAGAGAATAAAATCTAAGTTCTCAAGTGCCTCCCTTTGATCAACATTGTACCTGTAAATAGCACGAGGCAGCGATCTTCAAGCTGGCGAACCTG